TTACTTACTTATTTACTTATTTATTTAACGGAACAACTGTTTTATTTTTTAATTTTATTATTTACTTATTCATTTGACGGAACAACTTCTATTTCTTAATTTTATTACTGTTATTTATTTATTTGACAGAACAACTTTTATTTTTTAATTTTATTACTGTTATTTATTTATTTAACGGAACAACTGTCTTATTTTTTCATTTTATTACCATTATTTATTTATTTATTTATTTAACGGAGTCTGTTTTATTTTTTAATTTTATTACCATTATTCACTTATTTATTTGCCGGAACAACCGTTTTATTTTTTAATTTTATTACCGTTCTTTATATATTTATTTAAAGAACAGCTGTTCCTTAAGAAGTACATTAAAAAACGGCTGAATAAAATTACAATCGGTATAGTTGTACACAGTTACATTTTGGTCACGACGGTCAGTTGAATCGTCGCGATAAGCCGGAGCGATACAATAGCAGAGCAGAATCGCGACCGCTGCGACAACCAATTACGGTAAGAAGCCCGGCGATTATTGCATAAAGCCCGATGGTGGTAATCCGCTTACAGGAGCAATCCGACGTGGAATTTGTCGGCGGAGTGCGCCGTCCGTTTTCCCGGTAACTCCGTAAAAGCCTGCGCGGCGGCAGCCTCCCCTGCGCCATGTTAAAGTATTCCCGAATGGATCATTGTTTGAAAATGGTAGTGGCGAGCGCGCGGTTCATTGGAAACGCAGAAGAAGGAACTGGAAAGTACATTTGTCTGTGAAGTATTGCTGGGAGCTCGCGGCAGTTTCTCCGCAGGGGGCCCACGGTGATGCGGGCCACGATCCACGTCGCCCCGTGTTTCCTTCTATGTGGAAGTGCTGGTCGCGCGTATAGATCGCCGGGCAAACGGACAGCCAACGGCCGCGGAGATATATGCGAAACGCGGTGTATAACTATCGGTTAACGGCACTCGGCCGCACAGGGGACGACGGATACCGATCCGAGCCGAACCGACCCACGGCCGACCCGACCCAACCCGAGCCGACCCACGAGCGATTCGAACCAACCCGAGCCGACCCACAAGCGATTTAAACCGACCCGAGCCGACCCACGAGCGATTTAAACCGACCCGAGCCGACCCACGGCCGATTCGAAGCGATTCGAGCGCGTATAAAAAATCGCATGAATAATCGTATGAAAAGTCATACGAAAAATCGTCTAGAAAATCGTATGAAGAATCGTATGAAAAATTACATGAAGAATATCATGGAAAATTGCGTGGAAACTCGTATAAAAAATCTTATGAATAATCCTGTGAAAAGTCGTATGGAATATCGTATGCAAGATCGTATGGAAAATTGTATGGAAATTCTAATGGAAAATCGTATGGAAAATCATATGGAAATTCTAATGGAAAATCGTATGAAAAATAATCCCATGGGAAATTGTATGAAAAATCGTATGGAAATTCTAATGGAAAATCGTATGAAAGCTCGAGTCCGCTGAAACGTAGTGCTTAAAAGTCGAAGCGGCGTCGATGAAGTCCGCAATCGCGATAGGAACGTAACACGATACGGTGAACAAGCTTTTCCAGCCGCCATTTAAAAACGCCGGACCACCAGGACGCCGGCGAGATAAAACTCACGGAACAATCGTCGATTGGAAAGCACCGAGGCTCGCTAGGAATTCGCTTGTCAGCGGGCCGGGTTGCATCGAGCCTGACTTTATTATCAATTTGCAATCGGTCAAAAGCAGCGGGACACCGATTTGCTCGCGGCGCCGATGGTTAGGTGTCGCCGTATTTCATCGGATGCATAAGCGCGGCCAGGGTTAATAGGACGAGATCGTGCACCCGCTGTAAATCTCGCTTAATTTGCTCGAACGCGCGCGCGCGCGTTCCCGCTCGCTCGCGTTTCCCATTGTCGGGATCGCGGCGGCACCGCGCGGCCCGATCTCGCGATAGAAAACATAATAATCTCCGTGACACGTTCCACCCAATGGTAACGAAACTCGTTCCGTACGCGCCGCCGCGTCGCGCCGTCGTCACGATCTCTTCCGAGCGTGTCCGAATAACGAAAACCGAACGATTCTGTTTCGTTTGGCGCTAAGCGTAGGTATTAGTGCGGTTGAGAAATGAAGAGGAACTTTGGACAGGGAAAAAATATAACCTCTTACGCCTTTCACGCGAACTTTGACAGAGAAAATATAACCTCTTGCGCCTTTCACGCGAACTTCGACGCAAAATATAACCTCTTACGCCAATTAATTGACTACTTGAGCTACACCTATTAGTCTTTAACTTTTATTTTTCTCAAAATATTGCATCCTGAAAGCACTAGTTTCCACTGGAAAGCATAATGTAAAGAAACCATACGTGTGCATATATTACCGCGGTTATGTAACTATTACTGCGAGTCAACTACTGCTAACATTCCGATTACTGCATGTCAAATACTGTAGACGTTCCGATTTCTGCGTTACTCTGGAATGTTATATTTCCGAGATATTTGTGCAACAGAGTTTCCTCCACGAATTTCTTGCGATGCTAACGCCACGTTTTCCTCAGGGCAGCATAACCTTTCATTTTTTCTTTCCTTTATATCGTGATATTTTTCGTTTTCTTTCTTTTGAATTCTTCCATTTTCTTTTAAATGTACATGCACAACTGCAATTCCTAGGATCAAGATATTCTCACTGTAGCACTTCACAAATTAGGTGTAGGTGCTCTGCGATCAACCGTGTTCGCACCAGTTCGTCGAGAACTGCACTGTATAGGTTAAGGTCCGCAGTTCGGTAAAGCGCTGCATTAATGTACATACACAGTAAAAAACTACGCGCTAAATACTGTGTTAGAAAATAATATTTGAGGATATATGATAGGGAGTGTACGCCGATATCTTATCAAAGTAACGATTACTTTATCTAAAAATTACTTTATCTATTACTTTATCTATTTACCGCTAAATGAACAGTTTACTATTAATCACCGAAATATAAACGCCTTTCAAATCAGCGCTCACAGCTGCCGTTACGAGTATTTTATAAAACTACGTTTTCATAAACTTTCAAATATCAAAAGTCGATAAATGAATTAAAACTGCGATTGCTGTTACTTCGACGTCATAAATTATCAATATTAAACTCATAAAAATTAATGAGATTCATTTTCACAAGATTACACACTACAGAATATTAGATTTTATTACTTTCATAAAATACCGCGGTACGTATTTGGGGCGTCCGTAGTAACACCCACGCTTACCCTATAGCGATGCACGAGGACGTAACGGTCCCCGTTATCGCGGGATTCCCACTGAACGATTGTTTACTCGGCTGTCGACGGCTCCATCGGCTCCTCTGAATCATTCTTGCGCCGTACGAGAAATTGGTATTCCCCGCTACGCGACACGAATTCGATATTCCTTTTGACGAATCGACAACCGGTCATCGACCGATTCCCAATCGATTACGCATCTTCATGCTAATCCGATACGATGAAAGTGCAGCCATACTCCGGAGAAAAAATTACGGTGATTAACAAATTTGAATCTTGTTATTTCAAAGTTATATATGCAGATTTTTCAGATGCAAACAGATGGAAAAATTGTATCAAGGTCTAAATAGTATTGTTATATTGTTTTTAAGATTAGTAGATTTAACTTTGAGGGATTTATTTTTTAGTTGATAAGGGGACAATGGGTCAGAACCCATATGTAGAACACAGTTCTGTGCGATTTCTCATGCGATTTTTTATACAATTTTTTATACGATTTTTCATACGATTTTTTATACGACTTTTTATACGATTTTTCATATAATTTTTCATACGTCTTTACATATGATTTTTCATACGATTTTTAATACGATACTTCATACCATTCACTGACGGCAATTAATCAAATTCCTGAATACATTTTTATCAGAAATATTTTCCCCAACACCTGTAAGTTCATTTCAATATTCGCACGTAGAACGGCACTGCATGTGATCCTCTTTTGGGAGCGGGACTTGAGACGATGATCTCAGACCGTGGACCATCTAGTTGGACCAACCCATCAGATTGAAAGCCTCTAGACCGGAAATGGACTCAGATTTCCCTGCGGGGCACTGGTCTAGCTCTCGAATCGAGAGCCGCGACCACTAAGAACGCAGGGGTGCCATCCATTTCCTAGGGTCTTTTCATTTCGATCTTGGATTCAATCGTGGAACCAGAGAACGTTTAAGTGGCCCTTTGGGGGTCTTGATGATTTCTGTTTAAGAATATATTCTGTAGCAATATTTATATATAAAATCGTTACAGATTTAATCTAGCCCTGTGACTGACTGTTCTGTTATTTCTAATATCATGTTTTACTGGTGGATCCTGGAGTAGACATTTGATCAGATGTTCCCATTGTCAAAATTGAGGACCTACTCAGACCTAACCTCAAATATCTGTGTCTAGCAAGTGTTGTGGAAGAAGAAATGCTTCCTCTGTGCTATTATTATTGGACAGTCCAAAGAGTATTATCCGAACGTCTAAATTTAATAATATATAAATATTAAGTAGTAAAAAGTGAATAATAAAGTATAATAACATTGAATAATAAAGTATAATAAGACTGAATAATAAATAATTAGTAAAGACTGAATTTACTGTAACTGATTAACTGATTCACTGTTCTGAAATCTGATCCTAGGAAATTTCAAAGTTGTGTCGAAGGTTCTAATTAAGACTTAACCAATACCTAACTGAAACTTAACTAAGACCTAACTGAGACTTGACCAAGACCTAACTGGGACTTGACCAATAACCTGAGATTTAATTAAATAATTAAATAAATAAATAGATAAATAAATAATTATCGAAGTCATAAAGCTGCTTCCATTTGAAATTGTCGACTGCATCAGTCGCACGCTATTATAAGAATTGCGGAAAATATTGAAAAAAATTCAGTGTTGCAATTTTCAGTGTTAGGTTAGGTACAAGTTTTGTCGAATAGATTCGACAGCAAGGCAAGTTCTGATCGCAGTACTCACAAGGATGTCTCCTTTATCCTCTGCAGCGCTAGGAGGGCAGCCGAGGAGGATACGAAGACAGGATCGAGCGGTTCCATCCCGCAGACTGACATCTCCCTGTCCCTGTCTCTCTGTCTCTCCCTGTCGCGCTCGCGATCCTTCTCCCGATCCCGGGGCTCCCTCTCCCTGATCCCAGGCTCTCTCTCCTGCTGCCGTTCCCTGCGATCGTTCTCCGTGCTCCTCTCTCGCACCCGCTCCCGCTCCCGGTGTCTCTCCCGATCTCGTTCGTGGTCTCTCTCCCACGCTGTTTCGCCGAGCGACGGCAGAGGTGGCGACACTGCAACAAAAATACGTATTTTTATATTGATGATGTTCTTTTCGACATCTTTTTATGTTCCATCTTCGCAAGTTATTTAGTGTTTCATGATGTTATATTAATTGTATGTATATACTTCGAACAGTATAATATACTATATTATAATATGTTATATATATAATTTATATAATTTATATAATATAATAATAATAATATAATAATTTATATAATATATATAATTTATAATAAATATGATATATAATATATTATATTATAATATACTACAAAATTAGTATTTATATTTATTTCTCGAATCAAATATTTATCGAAGAATTTATTTGAAACAGCATTCCAGTAAAATTTTATTCGACGAGTTTGTTCGAAATATTTTTCGAATAAAATTTTATTCGAAGCATGCACTTCTCGAATAAATTTCTATCCGAAGAATTTACTCGAAATATTTCTCGCACAAAATTTCATTCGAAGTACTTCTCGAGTGAAATTTCACTTCGAGATTTTCCTCGAGATATCTTTGGAATCGAAATTCGTTCAGAATTGCCTCACGGCAGCCGAGGTGCGAAGAAGCGACTGTTAATTGCGCGCGGGACGGTGAATAGCGGCAACGACGTGTATTCGGTTGCGCGCCGTCGCGATTTCCCCGGCGCACGAATGAAGTTGTATTCGACGAGCCGGACGAGCCAATCGAACAGAATAAGCGAGAACTGTAATATACAGTTCCTCGTGGTGGAACAGTCGAACGTGTACCGCGCGGGGTAACCTGCCACAATGTCCGTGAAATATTGTCGTAAATGTACCGTTACGAAACGACTTGTTTACAAGCCGATGGGTACAAGCGACGGTGCACGCTCGGAGGTTTCAGGAAATTGACCCGCGGGGTCAATCGTTTCGCCGCGGGTCACACGCCGCGGAAAACCTCGCGACTCTACACGATACTGGCGATCCGCGCACGTTTTACTTCGGCCGGGCGAATCCTCGACGGCGTTCCCTCGACCGTCTTTCCAATCGTCTAACATCGTGAAACCATTATAGAAAAGGTCAGGAAGTTTTCACGTGAAAGCAGGAACCGAGTATATCGAATTAGGTTCGATATATTTACCAGGTCGTACGGCTGTCGGTAGTTTTCTTCGACGAGATTTGTTGATATGATAGCGCAAGGATTTTTCGTTTTTAAGTCGTCGTCATGCTGGCTGAACATAGGTCCAAGCTAGGATAATTTTAATTTAATTTAAATAAAGCTTTGATAATAGTCATTTAACCTCAATTCATATTATTTTCTTTACAGCTGCTCAGAATTATTAACCGATGGTATTAATAACAGTGAAAAGATTTTTCTAAGTCACATGGTGGATGAACATAGGCGTAACATCCAAGTTTACTCTTGTTTACCTTAAAGTGTAGGATTGATTTTATATGTGAAATTGTTTAAAATAAATAAAGCTTTAACAATAGTCACTTAACCTCAATCCATATTATTTTCTTCACAGCTGCTTAGAATTATTAACTGATGGTATTAATAACAGTGAAAAGATTTTTCTAAGTCACATGGTGGATGAACATAGGCGTAACATCCAAGTTTACTCTTGTTTACCTTAAAGTGTAGGATTGATTTTATATGTGAAATTGTTTAAAATAAATAAAGCTTTAACAATAGTCACTTAACCTCAATCCATATTATTTTCTTCACAGCTGCTTAGAATTATTAACTGATGGTATTAATAACAGTGAAAAGATTTTTCTAAGTCACATGGTGGATGAACATTGGCACAGGTTCAAGTTAGGTTATTCTTCTTTACCTTGAAGTGTAGGATCAATTTTATAAGTAGAATTGTTTGAAGTAAATAAAGCTTTGACAATAGTCACTTAACCTCAACCTATATTATTTTCTTCACAACTGCTCATAATTATTAACTGATGTTATTAATAACAGTGTAAAGAATTTTCCTTTTCAAGTCGCATGATGGATGAACATAGACACAGATCCAAGTTTGAGAATCTTACCTTGAAGTGTAAGATTGATTTTACATGTGGAATATTATCTGAAATAAATAAAGATTCGACAACGACCAGTTAACCCCTATCCCAGATTATTTTCTTCAAAGCTGCTTGTAATTGTCGACTGACATCATTAATAACATTGCAAAGATGTTTCATTCTCAACTCACACGGTCTCCTCATAATACGTCATCGTCGAAGACCAGTTGTCGCGCCAAATATAGCAAACTTTCTCAAAAATTCTCTCGGTCCAATAAAGCCACCACGAATCGGATCATCCTCCCACTTTCACGAGGCTCGCAGTATCATACAGGGTGTCAGGAAAATGTTCGAATCTTTCGAATCAATTCGAAAATTAATTTGTTTAATTCCTGAGGCTATTTCAAGAAATTTCTTCCTCAAGAAAACTGTCCTTCACGTTAACCGGTTGATAACAGAAGAGACTAAACCAATCAGAAAGCAAGTAGAACTGGCGAATTTTGGCACCATAGCGAGCTTGACGCGGCAGTGACCGCCATGACGAGTCACTAGCCATGCTCGGCCTCTGATTGGTCAAAGTTCTTTCTCTTAATATCTCGTCAACAAATCGGAGAGAAGAAGACATTTCTTCTAAGGAAAAAGTTTCTTTAATTCGTCTCAGGAATAACCCACTTCATTTGATACGAACGTTTTCGGGACACCCTGTAGATCCAGTCCTCTCATTTTTCCCGTGACACGAAGAATCAAGGGGACACGTGCAAACTAACGGGATTAAGAGGTAATCGATTTCGGCGAGGGGGGCGCGATGTTCGCCGAGGTGCAGCAACAACACGTCCAGCGCGTTGCGTAACGCACGCATGCACCCATGCAAGCACGCACGCGAGAGTCACCCGGTTCCTCGTGAATCAACGAGGTCGAGATTTATGCAAACGGTTGTTGCGGCAGGACGCGCGCCCGCAGAAACTCGTTCACAGGAAGACGCATGGCTAGAAAACAGACGTTACCGCGCCCTGTGTTTCGTGCGCTTGATGAATCGCGGCGCAGATTGATTTTTAATCGATTCCGAGCGTCGTATTTTATCTCCACGGTCAGAGCATACGTCTGGATAACACGAGCCTCTGAACCAAATTGATTTTTGTTTAGACTCGAAGGACACCATCATGTCACTACTCCCACCGCGAGATCAGTTAATAGATTATGATTTATTTCTACTGTATTCCTCAACGAAAAATTCTGAAAAAATTCATGAATATTCTGTCTAATGGAGCACGTCGCTCTGAATTTCTTCAAAATTTTCGGTCGCGAAATTAATTGTTCAAAAAATGAAGAATGTTAGAAATGCTAGATTTTCATTGAAGCTACCAAGTGCTTTATATTTGTTTCTTGATCACCGATCACTTTTCGAGCATACAGAAAACAGATTTTCGCTTACAGAAACCGTAGAGAGCGCGAAGTTGTGAATCGGGCGTCAAGGTGGGGGGAAGATGCCTAGCGCGACATTAATTCTCAAGCACCCGGCGATGTATGTTCCTACTTATTTCCGAATAATGAGGAGCGTCTAGGAAACCTTAACGCTTCGCCACACAAGGTGAAAGATTGGCATTACGCATACGATTACATGCAGGAAGTGTAAGCCGCGTGTGTTTGCAATTTTCATTGGGATGTTTCTGGTGAAACTAATTACTTGGCACTTTAAATGGAAGAAAAGTGCCTGGAGAAACGGCGTGATGAATAGCGGACGAAGTGCTTGGAGGGAGGATTCGTGAACACTTTCAAATGCTTGTTAGAACTCGGATGGAATGATCAAAATCGTTGGTCAAAATTGTTAGAATGTTCAAAATTGTTAAAATAATCAGAATCGAATAGAATAAATCGGTTTCAATGGGAATATTTACATCATACAATCTACTTTATATTTCATATATTGCTTTATTTAATTCGGTGTAAGAAAGCAAAAACTTACAAACTTAAAAACTCTTAAAAACTTTGAAAAACTTTAAAACTCTGAAATATTAATGCTTTAAAACTCTAAAACATTAAAGCTTTAAAACTTAAAAAATTAAAAACCCTAAAACTTGAAAGCTTTAAAACTTAAAACTTTGAAACTTTAAAGCTTTAAAACACATAAACTTTAAAGCGATCACAGATTTGTAACATTACACAAACTCAAGACAATTACTTTCAGCAGGATGCACAAATTCGACAGATTGACTTCCAAGTATAAAAGTAATCGTGTCGCAAGAGAAATCCTCTTCGTCCAAGCCGGAACAAATTGCGAGTAACGATCCCATATGTATCGAAATTGCGGGAGACTAATTACGAACGTTTACTGGCGAACGAGCAATTACCACGTAACGAGGCTGGAAATTACGATCTTGCGTCGATCACGATGAGATTGGAGCGATCACTGCGATAATGAAATGAAACGCTCAAAAATGATCCTCATTTCAAAAACGTCCCCCTTGCCCATTCTATGGTAATATCGGCGACCCGATGTGAAACGTTCGCTAAAAACATTGTGTCCATTCGTTGCAGGATACAATAATTGTTCAAAAATTTATTTCATGCAGCGACAAGCATTGAAAGTAGTTTTAATTAGCTGAAAATAATGCAACAATATTTTCAAAATTTCCAAATGATTTTGCAGAGCAGGAGCAGATCGACAATTTCTGCAAAGAAGGTGTAATCTTCTAAAAATTAATCTCATTATTTTTTATATGTTTAATATTGATAATTTATGACACATAAGTAACAGCAATCGCAGTTTTAATCGACAGCTGTGAAGGCTGATTCGAAAGACATTTATATATTGGTGATTAATAGTAAACTATTCATTTTAGCGGTAAATAGATAAAGTAATCGTAACTTTGATAAGACATCGATGTACACTCCCTATCATATATCCTAAAATATTATTTTCTAACACAGTATTTAGTGCGTAGTTTTTTGCTGTGTATGTACATTAATGCAGCGCTTTACCGAACTGCGCACCTTAACCTATACAGTGCAGTTCTCGACGAGCCGGTGCG